AAATTTAAATATTAAAAAAATTAGTAAAAATCTTCGCAGGCAAATTTGCCTGTGTTACAATTTAAGGGATAGGTATTTGGTCTTTTAGATATCGGTTATCAGAAATAGCAGGTTATCAGGTTTTAATTATAAAACAGACACAGTGGATCAATTTTTTATTGGTTATAGCAGGTTATCAGTTTTGACAGAATCGGTTTTGGGAGGGTGTACTGTACTAAACAAATTGTGAGGTCATTTAATAACTGATATTAAATTAATTTAATAACAAGATCATTTAATAACTGATATTGAAATAAATGACTTCGTTCTAAATTAATTTAATAACAAGATCATTATTTAATAATCAATTTGGAATAATAAACTTTATTCTAAATTAATTTAATGATATTGTATATTAACTACTGATTACAATTATATAATATATTTTATTTTAATGATCTCATTTTTTTCTTATTATAAATACTTTTATTTTTCTTAACCATAAACTTTTCAACCATAAACTTTTCACGTTTTAATCGTAAATCTCTTAATTTCATATTAAATTTTCAATTCATTATTGTATAAATTCTTCTTTTCTTGTCTACAAGTCTTATTGTGAACTTTTTTTTTCTTTTTCTTAAAACCTATTATTGTTATAAAAATAAATAAAATATGTGAAACTGTGCCTTCACAAAAAGGTGGTATCAAGCTTAATGCTAATGGTTATTTGATGACAAAAGAACGTAATCATAACAATAAATATTATTAGATTTGTGACCAAGATGGGTGCAAGACTCGAGCTATTATACATATGAATTATAATACACATTATCTTCAAAAAATGAATGAACATAGCATGCTCCTGAAGCATATCGGGCTGAAGTTGCTAAGATAAATCACCAAATTAAAAATCAAGCCTGGGAGACAAGAGATAAACCTGTTAAGATAGTACAAGATAATCTTATAAGTGCATCTAAAAAATTTGACCCTATTTGCCATCAATAGATGCTTGTCGCAGAAAAATTCATAGAGTTAAACAAGGCAATTCACTACCACAACCTCAAGATATTACAGTATTTAGTATACCGGAATTTCTTCAAGTTACTTTGAATAGTAACTTTTTTTTAATTAGTGATCAATTAGTTAATCAAGATCAAATTCTTGTATTCACTACATTAGAAAATATTTGACACTTATTTTGTGCACCATTTTGGATTATGGATGGCACCTACAATTTTTTGACAGTTGTATATCATCCATGCACCCATTGGTACTACAAATAATTCAAGAATTCTACTACTCATATACTCATTAATGTTATGTAAATCTGAAGAGCAATATATTTGGCTATTTGAAAGCTTAGTCAATTTTGCTAATGAAAATAAAATCGAATTAAGCCCTCCAAGAATCATCACTGATTTTGAATTGGCAGCAATAAATACATTACAATATGTATTTCCCGAAGTCATTAATAAAGCATGTTTTTTCTATCTAGGACAAAATGGATGGAAACAAGTACAAAAATGTGAATTAGCAGGTAAAATTAATAATTTTTTATTTGTATACTATATATAGATATATATACGAATATAGTGCTACAGTGTTATTTATTATATATTATTATAGTGTTGTACCCGTTTTGACTAAAATAGCTAGCACAAATATATATTTAATTAAAACCTGAATTTTTATGTATATACATATGTACGTACATATATAACTTATTATTATATATTATGCAATACAATGCAGGATGATACGGAAAAAATAGCAAATTTAGTACAAAAATACGCCAATTATTTGCATTGGCATTTTTGCCTGCTTATGAAATTCTGAGTGCTTTTAGCATTTTAAAACTAGAAATGCCTCAAGATAAAGGGTCAAAAAAGCTAGTTTTATGGTTTGAAGAGAATTACGTTCTAGGCAAAATCAAGCGAGAAACAAGAAGTGATTAGGAGATTCGTCATATACCTCTTTTTTCACCTGAATTATAGTCAGTACATAAGTCTTTAAGTTTAGAAATTTCTAGAACTCAAAACATAGTCGAAGGTTGGCATAATCGTTGGGCAATATTAGTTGGTGGGTCTCATATTGGTGTATACTCAATTATTCAAGAAATGCAGAAAAAACAACAAGTAACATCAGCAAAAATAAATAGGCGTAAACCTCCGCAAGTTTTTACGCGAGCGTAAACCTATGAAAATTTACGATTAGTTCGGAGTATTACGTAGGTGTAATAATTACGAAAGTTTACGCTATAGTAACTCCGGAA